CTGAGACTCTGCGTGGTGACCAGGGCAGATCCCTTCTCCGCTCTGACTCACCGGATCTGGAGACGAAGTGGGGTCAGGGTCGCCCTGAGTGGGTGCCTGGGTGCCTGGGATACAGCTGGCACTCAATAAGTGCTGGGTGTTCTTAGGAATGCAGTAAGTTCAAACCAGGCTCAGAAGAAGAGCATCCATCTCACCTGGGACGGGGCCACCCTCCTCTAGGTGACCGAGGGCTGAAGGCGACCCCGGGTTCCGTCCCTGGTGCCCAAAGTAAAGGGGGGGACGGGGGTGGGGCTATGCAGCTGTGCTGGCCACTCTGGCTCCGCAGGCAGCTGGAGGGGGGACAAGTTGCCGCTGGGCGGAGGCCCTTGGTGGCCAACCAGCCTCTGCTCCCCTCCAGCTGTGGAGCCTCAGGACAGGGTTGGTTGGTGGCGGTCAGGACAGGGCCTGGCCCTCCGTGGGAGGAGGAGGAAGTAGGGGGCGTCCCCAGGGACCCCTGGCTTCCACCAGGGACAGACAGAGGCAGGCCTCCCATTTCCTGGTCACCAGGGCTGTGCTCTGGATGGGCCATCCCTGGGGGCACGGAGCAGGGAGCCTGTGTTGTGGACAGGGCGGGACAGAATGGCCTGTCCTCTCTGGGACCATGTCCTTCTATTTCAGGCACTTTGGCCCCGGATGGGCTGGGAGGGAGGTAGACCAGGGGGTCAGAGTGACCAGGGGGTCAGAGTGACCAGGGGGTCAGTGTGACCACGGAGTCAGGGACCTGGAGGAGCCAGTCTGCAGCCCAAACAGGGCAGGATAAAGAACCAAGTGCCCAGGCTGGGCACGGTGGCCCTCGCCTGTCCTTCTAGCGGCTCTGGAGGCCGAGGCAGGAGGATCGCGATTCAAAGCCGGCCTCCACAACAGCGAGGCCCTGAGCAGCTCAGCGAGGCCCTGACTCTAAATAGAAAATCAAGGGGGTTGGGGACAGGGCTCGGGGGGTCAAGGGCCCCGGGTTCATGACCGAGAGTCCCACCCACCGCAGCTCAGGGACAGGCACTGAAGTCCTGGGGTCAGAGTGGCCTGGCCACCATCTGCATCTCCTTACCCAGCCCCCCAGGGGCGTGCGAAGGCGACCCAAGGCCGACTGGGCCCCAGGCCAGGCCAGCCTTGGTCACGGTCCTCCCCCGCAGCCCTCTCTCTGTGTCAGCCTCAGCCCTCCGGTGGCCAGAGGGTGGGGACAGGCAGTGGCCCATTCCTGAGCCTTGGTTTGGGAGAACCCTGCCCCGGGGGTGGGGGGACTCTCCTGGATTCTCTCTGACAAACACTGTTGCCGTGGGTCATGGCTGGGGGTGACAGGGCACCGTCCAGGTCAGCCCTGGCGCATCACCCATCTGCTGGACGGGTCAGCCAGCCTGGGGACGGTCCTGCCAACCCGGGGACTCCAAATGCCCCGCTGATTGGGGGCCTGGGCCTGAGGGCTCAGGAGCCGGGTCCCCTCCCCTGCTGGGCTTCCTGGGGTCCCGTCCCCCAGGGTTCCCTGACTTGAGCCCTGACCCCTTGTCCTTCAGGAGGGGACCTAACGTGGACATCAGGTAGATGAGATGGTGGGTGGGTGCCGCTCCCTCTGGCTAGGGTCCCTACAGGACAAGGACTTGGGGCGCAGCACCCAGAGGGAGCCCCGCATGTAAAGACCCATCTCCTGTGTCCACTGCACTGAGCTGAGAGGCCCGGGGCATTCTGGGTGTCTGTGGGGTCATCTGGGTGGACGAACTCGTCTTGTTTGTGATCATTCTGTAGCTGTGGGTCAATGTCACACCTTTGTGCTATCTAGTCACCTTGATGCGGTGCTGGGGACAGGAACCGTGAAAAGATCAGGGCACCCTGAGTCTAGAGGGCAGAACCTGTGTCCCCCCCGGGATCTCCCACAGGGACCTCCCTGGGACCTGACAGTCTCCTGCCCACTGAGAACCTCAGTCTCTTCTTCTGAACCCGGCCATAAAGCTCTCGGGTTGTGTGACGCGGACAGTCCCCACCTGCCACAGGAGCTGAGTCCTCCACAGCGTCCACTTCTGCCACAGGACAGAGGCAGGTCGAATCCAGAGCTCAGCGGGGGTGGCTCTGTCCCATACCCCAAGGGTGGTTCTGATCCCTTTGTGTCCCAGGAGCCGCAGACACTTACCTGGGCCGGCCGCGGTGTGCGTCCCCCTGTCCCCGCTTCCTGGCCGCGGGCAGCCCAGCGTCCTGGCAGGAAACAGCAGCTGGAGACATTGAAGAGCAGGGCCTTGTCTTCAGGGTGACCTGGGGGGCGGCTTCCACCTGGGGAGGGGATACAGTTTCCTGTCAGAGAAGTGTCACCAGCCGTGGTCGAGGCGGGTCCCAGCCAGTGGCCCTGGATGTCTGCGGAGGCCTGTGACGTTTTTTCTGGTGGAAATTTGAAACTACTTGGAAGGGACCGTGGGACAGGGGAGCCCTTGGAGCCGCAGGGACTCAGGGGCCTGGCCGCCTGCCCTGGCCACGGCGCTGGGTATGGTGTCCCCACTCCGCGGGGTTTCCTTTCCTTTGTCACCAGGGATGGAACCCAGGGGGCTTCACCCCGAGCCCCGTCCCCAGCCCTTTTCTTTTAAGTTTAGAGACAGGGTCTCCCTGAGCTGCTCAGGGCCTCGCTAAGTGGCTGAGGCTGGCCTCCACCTTGCGATCCTCCTGCCTCAGCCTCCCGAGCCCCTGGGATGACAGTGCGCCACTGTGTCTGGCAGGACATATGGGGACGGGGAGTCGGCGATGAGTAAGGAGTCTGTCGCGTTCACGAGGTGAAGGCGGGTGGGGTGTGGGAGGCAAGTCGGCCTTCAGGGGTCCTGAGAGCACCTGGACCCTCGGTCTCCTCCTCTGTAACACGGGACCCCGAGGTCCCGCTCCAGGGCCGTGGAGTTGTTCTTGGTGTCCTCGGGGTCCACTGGCTGTCCCCAGGTGCTCCTAGCCCTTGGCCACCCAAGCTAAGGAAGTGGACGGTGAGGACCCAGCCCGCCCTGTGGGCCTGGGAGCCTTGGTCTCTCCGTCTGGGAAGGGGACACGGGTGCGGCAGGGGACTGGGGGACGGGGACCCACAGGCCTCTGGTTGCAGAGGCTTCATTTCCAGCCTGACCTGGAAGTGGCCCCTCTCCCTGCCCAGGGCCAGTCCTCGCTCCCACCAGCAGCTGCCCCCCAGCCGGTGTCTGTCCCCAGTAGGCACGGAGGGCGCAGGTGACCAGCACTGGCCACAGGGTGCTGAGCGCAGGTCCCCAGAGCTGTGGGGCCCAGGAGGCAGGACGAGGGCTATGCAGAGGGCAGTGGGGAGTCCCTCCCTGGATGGGGACCGGGGACCAGGGGACAGGCCGCGACCCATGGGGACAGGAAGGCTGGGGACCAGGCTCCGGCTGTCATGGGCATGACAGGGCCTGTGGGGACAGGGGACTCTCCCAGAGGAGAAGGCAGTGGGTGAGGCTATGGGTCATGGTCAGGTGAGGGGTGGACACATGGGGGACGGGGGCTGGGGGACGGATGGGTGGACGGATGGGCGGATGGAAGAACAGTCGGGTGGATGGACAGATGGACGGGTAGGAGGACACTTGGGTGGACGGCTGGGGGAATGGACAGAAGGGACGGCAGGACGGCTGAGGAGGTGGACGGACAGACAGGGGCCCTGTGGAGAGACCCCTGTGTGGCTGCAGGTGGTGGATCGGGGCGGGGGCCGCGCTCGGGGGCAGTGGGCATGTTGGGCCGTTGCGTCCACCCACAGGAGACACCGTGGGAACTTCTCCTCGAGGACATTTCAGACAAGGCCCTGGGCCGACAGGCCACCAGGAGCCTCAGCAGAAGGCAGAGTGGAACGTGAGGGGACTTCTCTGGGGGGGACCTCCCTCTGGTCAGTGCCCATGGAGGCCCCCGTGGCCTTGGACGGTGGCAGCCTCCGTCACCAGCGTATTCAGCCTGAGGCCAGGCAGCTCCTGCCTCGTGGGTCGTGGCTCTGGTGCCTGGTGGAGTCCCTCTGGTGACGAGGAGGGAGGACCAGGGTCCCCAGCCCCCGAGGACGGGGCCCTTCTAGAACCTTCTCTGGCTCTCAGAGGGAAGCTCCCTCCCTGGCCCTGGGACAGAGCAGCCCGCAGCTGCTGGTCCCCGCGTGGGACAGAGGCCGGGCCTGAGGATGTCCCCATCCTGGGCAGGGGGCAGGGGACCTGGGCCAGCAAGGCCTGACCAGCTGGCCGCCCTGCCCTGTTTCCTGGGCCCAGTGGCCCCGGGTCCTGGACGGGTCGGCTGTGGGTGAGCGAGGCCACCTGCCCTCCTGGGACCCTGCTGGGGGCCGTGGGTGGGAGGCCGTGTGACCTGGGCCTCAGCAGCCGTGAGTCACCGTCCCCAGGGGCTCAGCCTGGGAAGCCCCGCTTCCTGCCCTGGGCCGGGCGCAGCTGTCTGGTGGCGGCTGGGGACAGCAGCTGGGCCCCTCTGGAAGGGCCCCGACCCTCGCTGCCCCGGCCCAGGCCCGGCCTAGGGAGTTGGCACATGCGCTGTCCCTGGCCGTCCCTCAGAGCCACTGCTGGTTCTCAGTTACCCCGTCACTTCGGGGGCCTTGGTGTCCCCACGTGTGAGATGGAGCTGATAAAACCCCAGTCCTGTCCCCACCTGTCCCCAGTGGCCAGTGGGGAAGCCGGGGTGGGAGAGGGACCTGCCACCACCAGAGTCACAGTGACACGGCTGGGACTGGACTTCATCTCCTCAGCCCCGAGGGGACCCTCAGAGCGGCTGGTCCCCGGGGGGTGGCCCTGATTCTCTGTCCCTCCCGTCTCATGGCCCTGGAGCCGCCTGTCAGAGCCAGGGTCACCGCCCGGCCCGGCCAGCTCCTGGGGCAGTCATGGGGCGGGTGTTGGGTTCGGGCCTCTGGGGACAGGGGAGGATGTGGCCCGCCCCTGCCGGCTCCCTGCGTCACGTCACCGTGGACGCCCCTCGCGTCCCGCCCTCCAAGTGACTCACGGCTGCCTGGCCCCCGGCCACCCTGGGTCTTGGCAGGAGGCGGCCGCGAGGCTGAGCAGAAGCCACGGGTGTGAGGGACGCTCAGCCGGGAGGGACCGGAGCAGCCGGACGGGACCAGGCACAGAGGCCGGCCCCGGGGACAGCACCGCCGCTGGCTGGACCTGCCCTGGCCCGTGAGAGCCAGGGCCCTCCCAGCTCTGGGGCCTCTGTTTCTTCTTGCGACCATGAAGAAGGAAGTGACCTGACTCAAGAAGAGACCAGCCCCTGGCCCCGAGGGCAGCTGGGCTTGGGGGACCGGGGCCGCCACCCCCCGGGCCACTGACATCCCCGCCAAGCCAGGCATGAAGGGTGGTGGCAGTGCTGTGTGGAGCCTCATGTGGAAGTTCTGCATCTCCGTGAGGACCCTCAGGTACCAGGGGACGTGTGTGGAGGTGGCCCTGCCATCCTGGGTTGTGTGGCTGCTGGAGTTTGGCAGAGAGCAGAGATGGAGTGCAGGCGAGGCTGCATCCAGCACCCTCGAGGAAGCTGGGGGTGTCTAGCAGGCATGGAGGGAGGAGCGGGGAGCAGGGGTCAGGAGTGTGCTGGCCTTGGGCTGGGGCCCAGTGTGGCCTCCAGGGCAGGCGCAGGGTATGCAAGACCCGTCACACGTCATCCACGGCGGACTCAGCTGTGTGACTCCGACCCTGCTTCCCAACCTCTCTGAGTTTCTTGGGCCTCACTGAAGCAGGGCTCACTCTCCTTCCTTGAGCACATAGTACAGTGGCCCCTTGTGACCGTGGACACTGTCACCACGGCTGAGAACTCGGTCCTGAGCCAGGCACCAGGCCACTCAGGTTTAACGCTGGTCGTGAGTCGCTGTGCCCCTCGGCTGGAGGTGCTCTTAGGACTCGGGTGACACTTGAAAGAGCAGGACCTGGCACCTGCCAGCTCCGGGGAGTGTCAGATGTGATCACCGATGGTCACCCTACCCTCTCCCCTGGGGCTGCCAGGGAGCGGGCAGGGGACCAGGAGGGCGGCCAGCGCTCCCCGGGGCCCTGGGGGGACAGCTGGGCTTGCTCTAGCCCTGCGGCTGCAGGAGGACAGCCAGGGGACAGGAAGCCACGGGACCGAGGCCAGGCCCGGGGCCTCCGCTGCAAGGGCGTCACCTGCCACCGTGATTTGCATGCAGGCTTGGAGGGTGCTACTGTTTGGAAAGTGTCAAATGGTGACACCACCCAGGGCACCTGCTGTCCTTAGAGGGCTGTTTCTCAGGGTGAGGGACTGAGACGTCCTCCGCATCTGGTCTGTAAACTAGAGGCCTCCTCCCTTCCCTTCTTCTCCCTTTCTCCTTCCTTCCTCTTGAACATATCTGTGACAGCTGACAGGAAACGCCTACGGCAAGATGATCAATGAGACAACAGGCCGGGCGCCGCAGTGGCCCACGCCTGGGACCCCAGTAGCTTGGGAGGCTGGGGCAGGAGGATCGCAAGGTGGAGGCCAGCCTCTGCAATTTAGCAAAGGCCCTGAGCAGCTCAGTGAGACCCTGTCTCTAAATAAAGTAATAACAAGGGCTGGGGATGGGGCTCAGGGGTGAAGCACCTCTGGGTTCAGTCCCTGGTACTAATAATAGTAATAATAATAATAATAATCGGGACCAGGGAAAGCACCTTCAGAATAGGACATTGTGACCCAAAGTGTGATAATAATGATGATGGTGACAACAGTAACAATAATGACGGTGATGATGATGATGATAAGTGCACATGGGCAGGGTCCTGAGGTCTTTCTGTTGAGGCAAAAATCGCTGAGTTTCCTGGTAGCCAAAGGGAAAGGGGAAATGCAGCTGCACAACCCACTGTCCCTCACTAAGAACCAGAGTCACGGGGCCACTGTTGTCTCTGCTGTTTGCTGAGGGTGTCAGGGGCTTGGGACGGGGAGCAGGGCAGACATGAGGACTGGGGTGCCCTTTAGGACGGGCGCCGGCTGGCTGTGGGGATGTAGAGTGGCGGTGGGTCAGTGGCTGCCTGGCCCCGGGATGGACCTCCTTGTGCGGGGACTTGGAGGCCGGGCCAGGCAGGGGCCAGACTCTCCTTTCCCAGGGACGCGGCTGGATCTTCCTGCATCTCCTTATCCTGAGGTTTGGGGTTGGTGACTCGAAACCCCCGGGCAGTGGCCAAGGGGGAGCCCTGTCCCTTCTGAGTCCCTGACTGGCCCTGGTGGCCTTGGGGAGGGGGTGGCAGCCCAGTACCCTCCGCGCCTCGGTTTCCTCATCTGTTCAATGGGGACAACTCTGCCTGACCTGGTGGGGCTTGGAGCTGAGCTGCCCGGGGCCTCAGGACGCACCCCCCAGGTGTCCCCCACCGTGGGTGTCCCCTGCCACAGCCATCCCTGTCCCTGTCCCACTTCCCAGGCGCCTAGCCTCAGGGAGGCTCCCCACCTGCCCTGGGGCTGCCATCCCCCCCAGGCCCATAAAGGCTGGGGCGCGGGACGGGGGTCCCCAGCTCCAGGAGACGCGCCTGCCTGCGCCCTGCCCCTCTGGGGTCCCCACCCGGGACCAGGGCCACTCCCAGCCAGACAGACGGCGGGAGCCGCCCGGAGCCGCGGGGCCAGGGAGACCTGAATCAGCAGATCCAGCCCCGGGCGGGCGGGCGGCGCTGGCGGCGGCCGCGGGGGACACTTTGGAGGCCGCCCCAGGCGCATAGTTTCCCACTTGCGTCTTCGGGTCCCTGCGAGCGGCTCCTGCGCATCTGGAGAGCGAGGTGTGCGGAGCCCCGGCCTCCCCGGCCTCCCCGGCCTCCCCGGCCTCGCCTGCAGCCCAGGAACCCGGGGCTGGGCTCTGGAACCTTGGCTCGGGGCTCTGAGAGGGACCTCAGGGCTCAGAGCCACCGCCCCCTGCACGGAGCCCGGCCCAGCAGCCAGCAACGGTAGGTGGCAGCAGTGTGACCTCAGGCCAGTGGTTCAGCCTCTCTGGGCGGCTTCCTGGCCTGGCTGGGGCGACCCGGCCCTCACCCCTCCTCTATCCCTGAGTCTCCGCAGGGGGTTGGGACAGGCCAGAGTGAATAAGGGGACCAGGGACAGGGCCAGCCTGCGACTGAAAGCGAGCTCAGCCCTTTTACTGCCCAAGTGACATTTAGGACTAACTGACCCTGTGCCCGTCAGCCTGCCCTGGGGGCCACCCCGTGCGCCTTGGCTGTCCACTGTGGTGGTGGCCTCTCTGAGCCTCGGTATCCTCCTCTGTGAACCCGTGGGTGGGGACGTGCGCTCTCAGAGCAGAAGCCACCTGGGGCAGCCCCCTCCACCTGTCCCCCAGTGTCCTCCCCGGCCGAGTCCCCGGCCAGCAGGGAGCCACCTCGCCCTGATGTGATTTTGCAAAAGAAAAATTGTTTTGTGGCCTGACAGCGAAAGGTCTTGGGTCTCCTGGGGACGGGTCCCCGTGTCCCCACCCACTGCGACTCCCAGGGCTCAGCTGAGCAGAGGGTGCCCGACCTTGGCCAGCAGGTCAAGGTCCCCTCCCCCACAGTGGCCACAGCTGGGCAGGAGGGACGGGAGCAGGTGGCCACCAGTTCTGAGAGCTTCCGGGGGACCTTCCTGGGCCATTAGCCACCTGGTGCCCCACAGCGGGAGGCCCAGGGGACGCCCCTGGAACCCGGGGCCCGTTTCCTCCCAGCCTCGGGGACCCTGGGGAGCCCTGGGAGGAGTCCCTTCCCACCAGGACTCCCCAGGAAGAAGCCACCAGGTCCCCCCTGCCTGTGCTGGCCATGCCCTGGGCTGCCCTGTCCCTCGTCTAGGATGTGGGGTCCCGGGCAGCACAGGGGCCCCTCTCCCGCTCTGCGCGCCGTCTGCAACACTCGCGGTTCCCCTGTGATGCTGCCTGGTCCCCGTCACTGTCCACCCCCACCGCGGCCCTGGGCTCACCTCCTCCCTCCTGGGGGCTCTGTGGCCGGCTCCGGGTCCCGGACCAGGCCCTGCTCTTGGGGACTCACTGGGTGCTCCTCCCTCCCACGGAATGGCGGAGGGTGTGGGCACCGTCGCCGGGCCCACGGGGAGAGGCGTCCCCAGCAGCCCCGGAGTTAGCTGAGCAGCTACTGGGCGCTGGCCGCTCTGGGCCGCCCTGTGGTGTAGCCTGGTGAGCTGGGTCAGGGTTCCTGGAAGTGCTGCCCGGGAGGGACAGGGACGAGAGACAGAGAAGAGACAGGTGAACGGCTTCAGGTGCCAAGATAAAAAGGTTGGGGGCAGTCGGGGCGGGGGCCCACGCCTGTCATCCCTGCGACTTAGGAGGCTGAGGCAGGAGGATCGCGCGTTCGAGGCCAGCCTCAGCAACTTAGCCAGGCCCTGTCTATAAAAAAAATCATAAAAATGGCTGGGGGTGACGCTCAGTGGCAGAGCCCCAGGTCCAGTCCCCCACCAAAGTCAAAGGGAAAGGAGGAGCCACCATCTTGGAGGTGGGAGGGACAGGCAGGTGAGCTGGGGCCTCCTAAGCAAAGGCTCTGAGATGCAAAGGCCCTGGGGTAGAGCCGGCCTGGGGCCCTGGAAGAACATACCAGGAGGAGGTCAGGCGGCTGGAGGCAGGAAGTCCTTGGGGCCAGATCCTGGTGACAGCTTGAAGGGGTGGGGAGGGGGAGGCTGGGCACCCTGCAGAGCAGTCGAGGCCCCTGTGGTTGTCGGGACCCCAGAGGAAAGGAGCAGGGGGTGACGGGCCAGGTTCTGAGGCCATTGTGACAGCGGGTGATGGCCACTGTGCAGATGCGAGGGTGATTGACAGTGGGACTGAGACAGAGACCAGGTTCCTCCCTGGGGGACAGAGAGAGGCCTCCCTGCAGGAGGGGCCTGGGGTGACCTCTGAGAAGGGGCCCTGGGCTGGCCAGGGACAGTGGGGACAGAGCTCCCCAGATGTCCCCCTGCGGAGCCTGGGGCTGGACACGCGCCTGGCCAGAGGGGACGAGGCTGCTCACCCGGGGCCCCCTTTGGCCCCTGGCACTTGCTACACAGGGCGCCCTCTCCAGGGCCACCTGTCCCAAAGCCTCTGTCCTTGGGCTCGCTGGCCCCGAGTGAGGGGGTGGTGACCGTGTGGCCAGTGCCCCAGCTGGGCCCTGGCGCTCCCAACAAAGCCGCTTCCCCGAAACTCGAGTGGCCCCGAAACGCGATCGTCCCCGGGCGCCCGGGTGACCCTGCATTATTCATGTCCCCGACCCAGCGAAGCCATCGGCCACGGGCTGGCCACACCTCCACGGCCGCCTTCGCTGCGTCGGGCCAGGACCTGGGGGCCTGGCACCCTGTCCCCGGGGTGTGGCTTCCTGGATGCCGCGGGGCGGGGAGGAAGTTAGGCGACGTCACACCCCAGGACCTGCTGTGGGGAGGGCCACTGTCCCCGTACCCCGGCGGAGCAGTCAGGCCGGGCCCCAGGGCCCCAGGAGACCTCGGCACCCCCCC